TGCTGAACAGAATGAAAATGATCGGAGTCCCAGGAGCCACCCAAGATTACTGGGGGGTTGAAAGCCACATCTTGGCCTGACATAACAGAAAGGAATGGGGCCTCTTCACATTAGAAAACATTTATACTCTTGTCATGGACACTTTGAAATGTGTCTCCTTATAAAGCCTGTATTCTCGAACACGGCTTTACTTGTGCACACTCTGTCCCAATAGGCAGATGGGGTTTCTAGTCCATGGACTTCACATAAACTCACAATCCAAGAGTGAACACTAGCCAGACATCCTGTTCTGCACTTGTTCCCTAAAGGACAGTTCCCTTTCTGCCCCCGTTCCCCCATTCTTTCCACCAGGCTCCCAAGATCCAGAGCCCAGGCAAGCCAGTTAAGGAAATCACTGTGCCTCCAAAGTTTTTTGGGCTTTCCATGTTGCTGCTGACCCTGCCTGCCTTCCCCAGCTGTGCTACCTTGGTCCTTTTCAGGAGTGACCTTCGCTGTTGCAGGGGAAGGTGGCCTCTGGGGAGCCCCAGCATGTGGGGCCTGGATTCACTTCCTGCCCTTCCCCAATTTAATCCTTCTAGTTTCCCACAGTACAAAACCAAATTTCACTTTGTCAGGAGGAAATCACCAAATCATGTGATTCTGTCTTTACCTCTTTCCAGAGCAATGTCTGTGCTAGGGAAACCTTCCGTCCCATATCCTGCCTCGGCCTGCCAAGGTAGCCATCCCAAGAACACACTGTGTGTCCTGGTGCTCTCTGCCACTGGAGAGGCAGAGTGGCTGGGGCGTGGCCCTGCCCATCCTCCCAGCAGGGCCACTCCCAGGCACTCCACGCTTTGTCACTGCCTGCAGAGATCTATGCTGAGGCCTTATCATTCATTCTTAGCTCTTATTGTTCTTTCTGAGCTGAAATGCTGCATTTAATTTTTAACCAAATCATGTCTCCTGTCCTGGCTTTTGTATTCTTCCCACACCCTTCCTAAACAAGGTTTTAAAGATATATGTTTGTTCTATGATTTTGAAAGATCGTTTTTATCCTTTTGAAGTTCAGTCCTAAGAATTGGTGCTTGTCCCCAGGAGTGTCTAATGGAAAGGCAGTCCTGTCTGAAGGACACTTCCTAGCTAAGGGAGGTGGTACTTGCAGACTGGAATTCTGGCACTGCTGGGGATGAATCGATGGGAAATAGTCCTCAGTGATTCCTACCTCCCTCAGCCAACAACAGCCAAGCCCCTTGCATCCTACCCTCCCTCCCTAAGTACAGTTGTTCAAAAGAGTAATGGGTATAATATTTAATTATCACCATAGTAAGTTTCCTATTAGCAAAGTGAGAGAAGGCAATTTTTCCTTTCTTGTACTTATCACTGCTGTCTAAGCATTCCCCAGCACATGAAACTATATTTCTTCCCAAAGCCAGAACTGGATGAGTAAAGGAGTAAGAATGAGGCCTGAATGTCCTCCCCACCTCCAGTGTGTGTTAGAACCTAACATCGAATGTGTAAAACTTGTCTTAAGTTGGTACTGTACACTCAGGCTTCCTCTGTTTTCTTTTAACTGATGATTATTTTCAAGGCCCTCAGCATCCTTGTATAGTTGCTTACCTGATATAAATGCAATATTAATGCCTTTAAAGCATGAATCTATGCCAAAGATCACCTTTTGTTTTACTAAAGACTACTTAGAGGAAGTAAGAAAAATCATGTTTGCTCTCCAAGTTCTTCCAGTGTTTTGAGACACTGGTTTACACTTTATGCCAATGTGCTTTTCTCTAATATCAGTGCTCAAGACACAGTGAAGCAAATTAAAAAAAAAAAAAAAATCCCTGAATGCTGATTAGACATCACTAAAAAACTACATTTATAAGCTAGGATTTGTTATATGCAAATATTTTCTGCCTCTTCTGTTTAAAACAATAAAGTACATTTATATAAATAATGCTTTAAATGATGGGTATGTTATTTCGCCAAGAGCTTTTAGATCAGGTTTCTCCTCTGTTTTGAAGAATAGCCAGTGAAGCTAATCCTCAAAATGTGGAAAACTAAAGATTTTTATTTAATCCAAATATTGTACTGGAAGAAGTAGAAACCAGTGGTAATATATTAACAAGCTCTTTGTAATAAAGTACAACAGTGGGGATTATAAACTAGAAGGAGGAGAAGTGACAAATGGTTAACAGTAAGAGGAAAGCAGCCAGATGATATAGATCATCCCCTGGTTGAAGCAGTCCATCTTAGAAGATTCTGGCTGTATGTGGAGGCCATCACTATCCCCTAAGCTAAAGCTATTACATGTGCAGGAATATTGCAGGTCTATATTTAATATTCTAAAGCCCAATACAGAACAACAGAGTTGTCAGGGATCCACCAGAGTTATGAGGCAGAGCTAGCTTCTGGGCACATAGTCCTCTTCTTGCTTGAGGAAGCTCTGTAGGAACAGGTTCTCGAAGTAGAGCTGGGACATCAGTATTTTTGCCTTATTTTCTAGATCTGAAAGTGGTAAATATCACTAAAGGGGGATAGTACTGCTGACTACATTTATCACTGCTTTAACACAGAAAAGTTGCTGACTAGGGAGGCAGATTGCAGCTGTCTGAGTTAAAGGGAACTGTCCAGAGGTACTGAATTAGCTCAGCAATATATGAAAACAGTATTCGTGGTCTCATTTTTTCTATTTACCATATGTTCACTGGTGCTGCCTTCCTGATGCATTATAGTTTTTCTCAAGTCAGATGACTCTAAGGACACCAGGACCAGTATTTTCCAAGGTTCTTCTATAGCAGCACTTAAGGAATGAACCCATCACATGAACTCCCTTTGAATAAAATGATGGTGACTCCTTTATGCAGAAAATGAGCTTTTGGGTTATACTCCTTTAAGAATTTAGAAAATGAGGCTATCTTGGAATTATCTGGAATTCTATGCTTGAAAAATATTTCAATACTACTAAGAATTCATGGATCTTTGTTATTAGTAGGTGGTGGTAGGGAGAGTAGCTTTGATCACTTATTGTTCAGTCTGTGGCTAAAAGGGTGATGGTTAGAGAAAATATATAAGGTCAAGAGAGGAGCACTTGGAAGTGCTCTGCAGCAACCCTCACACCTTGTGTGATGATGCAGAGTAAAATGTGACCGTGTTCAGCCTGCCCTAACACTGAGGCATGCCCAGCTAAGAACGCTCAATTAACAGTCAAGCTAAAAAAATCAACTTGTTGCTTTCATCTTTTTATTGACAGTGTAGCCAGAGCTAGAGAAAGGACTTACTGGATTCAATCAAATTAATAAATACAATAATTTAATTGTAAAAGGAAACAGTCTACTTGGAAGTTTTAGCAGAAATTGCTAGAAGCAAGGGACTCTTGGCATACAATCTGCATGTATATGAGAAGATAGCACAGAAAGAAAATTAGTCCATATATGGATGATTGAGATTAGGGATTCTGCAGAAAGAAAAGCAAATGTATTGATTGCTCTTTTGAGGTATGAACTTTGAAGAGGAAGACATTAAAATGAAAAGCAATTGAACTGGGTAACCAATCTTAGGCAAAGGGAATAAATATTTGGCAACATCTTAATTTTAGCTGCCAAGCTGATATTGGTTACCCTAGAAATTACTAAGTTGCAAAAAGTAACCTTTCCTATTAGATGAAAGGCAGGCTGGGTGCCCTAGGCAGGCAAAGGTAAGAATGCTGCTGTACAGTGGGCTCCCTGTACCAGCACCAACCACTATCCCTGACAGCAGAATGGGATGAGTGTAAGGGCCACGATTAGCATGATAAGGGTAAGGGATAAGTTGACAATGAAAAGAATGGAGTCACAAAACTAATAGCAAGAACAAGCACTTACATCTTAACTTTCTCCATTCTTCATGTCTAATGAAGCAAAATAACTGGGCAAGGACTTCTAAGTCAATCAAGTTAAATGATAACTGTGGACTGACTTGCCAACCATGAAGATCAATACAGGTTTATCAATGTTACTGAGGATTTTGTTTCTGCCTCATTATAATGTACTTTGTCAGTACAGTAGAGACATTTAAGTACTCCAGTGACAGTTACAACAATAGTTTCAGGAAGGAATCTATTTGACTATAGCCTTGGGAAGCACACAGTATGAAAAGGGAGTTCCCCTGAAGACAAGGAGTGTAGACAAGTTGAAACCCTTAAGAACAACAACAGAAATAAAAGATTTAAGGAAAAAAAACAAAAAAAAGATTGACAACAGTGAGGCAGGCACATTTTCTTCCTTTAGCTGAACTAGGTCATGAGGCCTTTAGGCTAACTGGTTTTAAGTGGTGTTGGATAAGCTTTATAAAACATGAAGATGGCAAAGGTTCACTTAAGTTTCTCTTTTACTACATTAATTTGCTTAAAATCTCAAATGCTTGTGCTTGCAATAACTTCCTAAAAGCAGAAGTAGTGTTCCCTTTTATTACCTTAAAGCATTCACCCCTTTGATAGAAATCATTTTTACTGTGCTAACAGCTGAACCAAGTGGCACAAAACTGAGATGGTACTTACTGCAGCAAGATCCCTATAAATCAAAATCTGAGCTTTACATAAAAATCTTATTTATAAAAAATACAATACCAAGTACAGTGAGAATGGAGCATGGAGCAGCAGTTCTCCCTGCCAGGGCCATGTGGAGTGGCTTTTGCTACAGTGCTTGCTTAATGGCGTAAGTGAAAAGCTGAATAAGGCAAACACTTGAAGAGGCAGTTTTCTGTAAACTTCTTGGGGTGGGAGGAATTTTTCCTCTGTTGGGACAGAAGATTTGGGATGGCTAAGATCAAGTGTGACATTTGGCTGCACTTGACACATCACATTACAGACTAAGATAGCTCCTGCTGAGACCAGCTCACTTGTTTTAGGAGAGAGGTTATCACTGTAGACTTTTGCCTTGACTGTTAAAATATGCAGCCTCCAGCTGGTGTCTCCCTATGGAGGAAATCACCTCTAAAATCTTCCTAAGTGACAAGATACAAATAAGCTAAGTCATTCAGAAGTTTCCTTAGCTTAAAGCTACTTAAGAACCCTACATTGATTACTAAGCAACTCTGTTAGCGGTGTGTGGCTCGACACAAATGCTTTAACTAGAATATGTATTCACATCCAATTGGTACCTAATGGTAATAAACCGTAATGACACTTGGAAAACAAACGTATCTTGAGGAATTCTGGCCTCTTCTCATGTCCTCACTTGGAACTTTCCAGCTTTCGTGACATATTTGACTCCTTTAAATGGCTTATATTTCTCCCCATACATGTCCAAGCGGTTTACTTTTAAGCCTGTGTCAAAAAGAATAGGTAAGGAAAGGAATAAATTACTATCCTGGTCACACCAACCAATACAATATTTGCTTAGCAAATAGAGTTTACTACACAGTAAATCTGACATTAACCAGTGTGCTTGTCACCATTTGAAAGCAGTGTTCCTTCTACCATTCACAGATTATAGCACTATGGAAGTACGGTTTTAGTTCAGATTCCCATGTGGACAAGCAGTGTCTTTTAAGGATAATTCTACTTTCTGTGAGTATGAATGACTCCTTTCTTTGTGCTTGAATGAGGGTAGGAGTGAAGGGAAGCTGTGTGAAATAAGGTGCTCTCCAAAATCACTGTACCCATAGCACAGAGTGAAAGGCATACTGGAGCTGTTGCTCTTTGTAGAGACGGAATGTCAGTTACCCTTCAAAGATCCTAGTAGCTGACCTCAGCAAAACTCAATTACCCTTAAACACAAGTCAAATTTCTCCTTACCTGAAATGGCAAGCTGCTGGATCTTGAACTGTACATTGAGGCTTGGATTCTCTTCTGGCTTGGGTGCTCCAGATTGTAAATTTACCAGTCCTTTAAGACTGGGGAGCTTTTGTGGAGTGATTTTTCCCACATCCCACGTTAGTACCTTAAAAAGACATTAAAAAAAAACATTCTGAACTATTTATTAAAGACATATGTTCAAAGACAAGGTGCAAAGACACCATAAACTTCTGTACAAAATAAAGCACAGTGTCTTGGAAACAGACCTGGGATGTACACTGAGTTCATCACTAATTAGTTCTGTGACTCTGAATGGAGAGTGAGGGTAGAGAATCAATGTTTGTTAAGCATCTACTTTTGGATTTAGCACTGTGCTTAGCACTATTCATATGCTGTCTCATAGACACCTGTAATGTAAATTTTGTCTTTTAACAAATGAGGAAACTAAAGCTCTGAGGTCAAATGACTTGCTCAAGGTCACATGGCTAGTTAGAGGCAAGGCTGGGATTTGAACCTACAGCTCTCTGGTATCAAATGTTCTTTCCACTATACCACCTTTACTGTTTATCTCTGGGCCTAAGTTTATTTTTCCGTAAAATAAGAAGATGGGCCTAAATTGGTGTTTTTAAACTTTTAGTGATGGAACCCTTTGTTCAAATGAAATCTTTAGTGAGGAAGCTCAGTAACAGATGAGAAAGTGAAGCTATTATGTTTGAAGCTGGGGTGGAGGGCCAGGGATCTGGAGCTCCCCCTTCACTTCTTAGCCCTGTGTGGTCTCTGGGGAGATTCTTCAAATCCTCAGGATTGGATTAGATGATCTTTAACATTCAATGATTTTACTAAAACAAAACAAAACAAAACAAAACCCTTTTCATTTACCAGGTAGCTCAATGACTCTACTGAGGAAAAGAATCATTTTTTACCCAAGCAGGAAGCAGAGAGAAAAATCATCTTTTACAATTTCTCTGAAATCCTTCTGCTAGAGGCAAATATATGTAGGGTGAGAAGGCAGCTTTCCTAGCCAACATCCTCTGTGGAAGAGTATGAAACAAGGCTTTTATTTTTTATTTTTTTTTATTTTTATTTATTTATTTTTTTTATTTTTTATTATTTTTTTTTAACATCTTTATTGGGGTATAATTGCTTTACAATGGTGTGTTAGTTTCTGCTTTATAACAGAGTGAGTCAGTTAAGGCTTTTAAATTAGAAAGGAAGAGAAAGGTCTTAATTTCTACAGAAAATTTAATAATTAATAGATTATAATATCTATTAACAATTAATAGATTATATCCACATAATACTTTTCTCTTTTTAAAAAGTTTACCAGATAGCCTTAGGTTCGAATCCCAACCTTGCCTCTAACTAGCTGTGTGACCTTGAGCAAGTCACTTGACCTCAGAGCTTTAGTTTCCTTGTTTGTTAAAGGAAGACAAAATTTATATCACAGGCTTCTATGAGACATCTTCCTCATTGAAGAGTGAGTGAATCTCTGGATTATCAATGGATAAGTAAAGGCAGACTCTGAAGGAAGAAAGAATGAGTCTCACTGTTCTGTTTGTCGACTCAGCAGCAGATGCAGGATTCCCTCTTCAGGCAGTGGCAGAAGCACAGCACAGTATGCATTCCAGGTTTTGTTAGGAACTTTAATTTTAACCAAGACATTAGACCCTTTCCTCTGTCCCCCCACATCCCCAAAGCACAAAATAAAGACTGCAGAAACACTTGCTCATTCTTGATTTTAGGTGGCTGTACCTTGGTAACTGGATCAAATGTATAGCTGCCTTGTGTTGGTGTCAGGTTCATATTCAACACAACCTTTGGCATGTGAACTGTCACTGTGATTCCTTCAATAGTTTTCCCCATATTTTGCTTTGGTCCAATTGTAATATCAAATCTACCACAAGAACTGTTCTCCTTAAAACTGATGCTATGTTTCACATACACTGGTATTGCCACTAGACTAAAAAGAGAAAGAAAGACACAACCACAAAAACATACAATTAATAGTGTGAGTTCCAGAGGTGGCCTGAAAACCTCAGTCCAGAGTATCCTATACCCCCAGAACTGCAGATTGAGTATGTGTACCAGGGCAGGTTGAGTATAGCACAGTGTTCTGGAACCACTCTGCTAGGAATTATACAATTTCTGAGCAGTAAGTGTACAAATCAAGATAGAAATCTGAAGCTTAATTATAGTATAAACAATTGGGGCAAACAGCCCTAGTTTAAAGAAATGAAATAAGATCCCACAGAAAGATAATTTAAAATTATACAAACTAAATAAATCAGTTTTTATGTGGTAAGGGCCAAGAAACAATTCCTCTGCTTTTAAGTCCTGTTCTGATGTTACCCAAAATACTTTCTGATATTTTCAAGGGACAAACCAGCTACAACTCATGATGCTAAATCATTCATTTAAACTTCAGTGCAGAGAAGAGTAACTTCAAGCCAGTTAGTTGAAGAATGTCCTGGAGAGCTACAGGTAAGTCTGTCTCCTTCTATCAGCCATGACGTCCACAGACCACAGTAAAATTATGGTATGGGTTTACAGTTTTGCCCAGGTTATGCATGGTCCAAAATGCTTGCTCTCAGGTATATATTTTTACTACAGTCTAATTTACTACTACTCTATACTCGTAAGATTCAAAGTATACTGATTATATTAGACACACATTTTCACCAGTTCTTCCTGGGTCTCCTGGTGAGCAATGGCTAAAGGGAGCAATGATGAATTCAAGTACCCAACTTGTCAGAATGAAACAGGGAAAAGTGAGTTCTATGCAGTACACTGATATTTGACAGGAGATTCTGACTGACGCATCAACATACTTTTGTGAGCTGACACGATATGATATGAGTCGGAAGTTTCCATCTGGAGGAATAAATGACAAAACTCTTTCAGATTCCCAACGCTTGAACCGGATGCAGGGGTGGAAGCTGACATCATCTAGAAGCCTCGGGTTCTGCCAGGGAAACAGAAGACAACCATATTTATAAAGTATAATGAATATTGCAACTTTAATTCAGATATTATGAGAAATTATATGCTTCATCAAGATATAGCAGTCATGTAAGAGTTTGTTATGATCACATCAACACAACTTTACAGTTTCACAACGCTTTAAAGTCTGCAAATATTTTATATACATTATTTTATTTGAATTTCAATAACTATGAGGTAGAAAATGTGAGTGGTATCATTTCCATTTCATAGATGAAAAAACTGAGGTTCAAAGAGCTCAGGGTCAGGACAAGTTAGAGGCAGAGATAGCATCAGAGCTCAGTTCTCTTTATGGTTCTTAGTAGTGTATCATGCTGTATCTAAAATGATGCAAAAGATCAATGCCCTTTCATATCAACAAAGCATGTAATAATTCAGGAAAAGCAGCACTGCACATTTGTAGACGCCAGCCAGCCATTTAAGCTACTTCTAGCATACTCAGAGGCAAAGACCCCTCCTCAGCCTTTCCATAAAGGCAATGCTCATCATGTAAGCTACTGTCTTTGGAAGCTGTGTTAGGAATATTTTTTAGATAATCCTTTGCAATCTAAAACAAACATGTCTCAGTATTTATCATTTCATTTAGTACTTCACATGTATTAGGCTTGCAAGGAGCTACAAAACAGGAGAAAACTTACCATAAAAGAAAGGGAAAGGTCAGGCATTCCAGATAGCTTAATGCAAGCATCAATTACCCCCTGAATTTCTGCAAAGACTGTAGATCCTAAAGAAAGAAATAAAGGTGATAACATCACTGGAATCTGCATCTTTACTAGAGCTATCACTGTATCTGAAGTAATGGAGATATCTCCTGGGTGTCAGACATACTGAAGCTTTCCACATCTATTAAAAGGTTAGTGGACAGAAGACCCATTACACTAGCTGAGATAGCTTCTTTACTGAGTGCCATGGCCTATACCTATCTCTGGTCAGAATATGATAATTCTAAGGAAAATCAAACCTGTCCCTATCTTTATAGCGTCAACTTTGTAAGACTGCTGGATATGAAGTTAAAATATTTTTTTCCAGTGATTTTTAAAATTAAAAAAAATTTATTCAATTTTTAAAGGTTACTTTTCATTTATAGTTATTATAAAACACTGGCTATATTCCCTGCATTGTACAATACATTCTTGAGCTTCTCTTACACCCAACAGTTTGTATCTCCCATTCTCCCACCCCACCCCACAATGGTAACCACTAATTTGTTCTCTATATCTGTGAGTCTTCTTTTTTGTTAAATTCAATAGTTTATATAGTTGTATTTTTTTAGATTCCACATATAAGTGATATCATACAGTACTTGTCTTTCTTTATCTGGCTTATTTCACTTAGCATAATGACCTCCAAGTCCATCCGTATTGCTGCAAATAGCAAAATTTCTTTCTTTTTTATGGCTGAGTAGTATTCCACTGTGTACACATCTTCTTTATCCATTCATCTGTTGATGAACACTTAGGTTGCTTCCATATCTTGGCAATTGTAAATAATGCTATGAACACTGGGGTGCATGCATCTTTTCAAATTAGTGTTTTTGTTTTCAAAATTAAAATATTTTAATGACCATTTTTTTTTTTTAGATTATATATATGTGTTAGCATATGGCATTTGTTTTTCTCTTTCTGACTTACTTCACTCTGTATGACAGACTCTAGGTCCATCCACCTCACTACAAATAGTTCAATTTTGTTCCTTTTTATGGCTGAATAATATTCCATTGTATATATGTGCCACGTCTTCTTTATCCATTCATCTGTCGATGGACACTTAGGTTGCTTCCATGTCCTGGCTATTGTAAATAGAGCTGCAATGAACATTGTGGTACATGACTCTTTTTGAATTATGGTTTTCTCAGGGTATATGCCCAGTAGTGGGATTGCTGGGTCGTATGGTAGTTCTATTTGTAGTTTTTTAAGGAAACTCCATACTGTTCTCCATAGTGGCTGTATCAATTTACATTCCCACCAACAGTGTAAGAGGGTTCCCTTTTCTCCACACCCTCTCCAGCATTTATTGTTTGTAATGGCTCCTATTTCTTAAAAGTTAACAGCTAGCTTAGTCCATTTCATTAGAAACTTGGCTAATTTTATTTAAAATATTTTAACAATAAATCAAAGTTAAAAAATTTAAAATAAAATTAGCCAAGCTTTGAATGAAATGGACTAAGCTAGCTGTTAACTTTTAAGAAATAAGAGCCATTATTCTTTAATAGTACAGCTATTATTCCATATAATGGAATTTTATAATAAAAAGGGCACTCACTGTAGAGATAGTGTCTATAATTCACAGTAACTCATATTCACACACCAACTAGCTGTGTGACCTTGAACAGATTACTTAACTCTTCTAAGCCTCAGTTTCCCCATGTATAAAATGTGAGGGTTGGACTAGATGTTTTTAATAAAATGTTATGATTCTAATACAGTACTGTTCTTTAGTCTGGGGTCTTTACTAGAAGGACTGCAGATAAAGTGGTAGCAAAAAGTATGGTGCATAGTAGATATACAACAAATATTAAACTGAATAAATGGCAAGATGGAAATGAATATAGGGTAATAACTGGCTTAAAGTAAGGTGGCATGAGATCTGATTTACAAAGGTTTGGCATTTCTCAACTAGAGGTTATGAAAATAATATGTAACCTCTGGACAAAATAAAGAGATTTGAAAATGAATGCTTTTCCACTGAAATGCATACTGCCAAGGGATTTCGGTTTTCTATTCAGCTTATGTCAGCTGAACTGTTTTTTCCCTGATAAGATAATATGCACACAATTACCTGATTTATCTATAATTGCATCTATTTCTTCAACGACATCAAAATAGGCTTCGTTGTTTGTGTACTTTACCCCTGCTCGGCGCCATGGGATGTTGGACAGCTGCCCAGTGGGGAGTGTGTCCCCAACATTACTACTGCCTAGAAACCGGAAAAACAGAAAGCAAAGCTAACACATAAGTTGCTCATCAGAAAAGCTCTTAACAGAAAAAAAAACTCAAGTACTTTAGCTGCTTCTTTAGTGTTTGGGTTTTTCTCCACTGAAGTTGTGAATGGTTTACAGAACTGTCAGAGACATATCCATACCAATGTGATCAAATTTCTAGAAGACAGAAATAGGCCATGTGGTCCTGTGTCTATCTGCCAAACCAGGTTAAATTCATTTACTTATCTTTTGCTTCCTGTGTGTTAACAGTAACCTAACCTAATTCCAGTGGCTCAACAACAGAATCTCATCCTGCTACCACTGATGAAAAAAGAGGCTGGTTGTTTCAAAACCCTCTGCTGATAAAATGTCTGCACTGAGAATACAGAGTGATAAGTAAGCCATTTGGTATTCAGCTTAAATTATACATGAGATGCCGCCAAGCAGAGTTAACTGGCTGAAGAACATACTCTGGCCGTTTCCCATTTTAAGGTCAGCACACTCATATGGCACACCCACATGCAATATGGCTAATGTTCAAAATCTGGCTAATTTCCTGGTAAACTGACATATGTCTGAAAATAAGTCTGGTTGTCCAAAACATACACCCTTGAGCTGTGACATATTTAACATTCTGGTTAATTTACTTTTCCAACTCAAAAGTAGTACATGCTTAACAATAACAACATGTGAAAAGTTCAGAAAAGTAGCTAAAAAAATCTATCTTCCTATCACCAAAATACAACTACCATTAACATTTTGGTATATTTCTTTAAACATTTCCCTCAAAACAGGTTGCATTTATTATTTTTTTCTATTTTGGTAATTTTGCTTTTTTCAGATTTCACTTTAAAATATACAATTGGCCCTTGGGACTTCCCTGGTGGCGCAGTAGTTAAGAATCCGCCTGCCAATGCAGGGGACGCCGGTTCGATCCCTGGTCTGGGAAGATCCCACATGCCTTGGAGCAACTAAGCCCGTGCACCACAACTACTGAAGCCCGTGTGCCACAACTCATGAAGCCTGTGCGCCTAGAGCCTGTGCTCTGCAACAAGAGAAGCCACCGCAATGAGAGCCTGCTCGCCGCAACTACAGAAAGCCCACGTGCAACGAAGACCCAACACAGCCTAAATAAATAAAAATTTATTAAAAGTAATAAATACACACTTGACCCTTGAACAACGCAGGGTTTAGGGGTGCTGATCCCTGTGCAGTTGAAAATCCATGTATAATTTTACAGTTGGTGTTCTGTACACATGGTTCTGCATCAACAGATTCAACCAACTGCAGCTTGTGTAGTACTATAATACGTATTTACTGAAAAAAATCTGACTTTAAGTGGACTTGGGCAGTTCAAACCCGTGTTCGATTGTAGTTGCAGTCAAAGTATACATACAACTTTGTAGTGTAATTATAGTTGGTGTTCCTGTCTCCAATCCTGCTGCCTTCCAGAATTTTCTAAAAACACTGCTTTAATCTTCCTGTTCAAAAACTTGAAATGTTTCCCCACTGGCTTTATGATTAAAGCTAAATATTTAGATTACCATTCCAGGACTTCCTCAACTTAACTTTTTAATTTTATCTCACTACTCAACTGAAAAACAGCTCTACAATTCAAGATTTTTCACTGTGTTTTTTCTCATACAGCTCCATCTATGAAGAATGTTCTTACTCCTCCCTCTCTTCCTAAATTCTATTGATTCTCCAGGACCCTGTCCTAGGGCCACCCACTACAGTTCAGGAGAGATTACTTTATCCACTGAACCACTCTCTTGATCTTTATAATGTATTGCCTTAAGAATCTATGTTATGGGACTTCCCTGGTGGTCCAGTGGTTAAGATTCAGCGCTCCCAGTTCAGGGGGCCCGAGCTCGATCCCTGGTCAGGGAACTAGATCCTGCATGCATGCTGCAACTAAGAGTCCGCATGCGGCAACTAAAGATCCTGTGCGCTGCAACTAAGATCCGGAGCAGCTAAATAAATAAAAATAAAATAAATATTTTAAAAAATATCAATTTTTAAAAATTTTATACTTCACTAATTTTTTTCTGACTATAAAATACATGTTCATTTTGGAAATCAGAAAGTATAATGCAAAAATAAAGATAATATGTAGTTTCTTAGCTGGAGATGGTATTATAAACTTTAGAACATTTTTTGTGGGAATATTTATGTATAATTAAGAGTAACTTTTTATGGTTGTGTGCTTTTTTTTTTTTTTTCTTTTTTGGCCACGCTGCACAGCTTGTGCAATCTTAGTTCCCTGACCAGGGACTGAACCTGGGCTCCAGCAGTGAAGGCAAGAAGTCCTAACCACTGGACTGCCAGGGAACTCCCTGTTTTGTTTTTTTTTTCATTTAATATTATACCATGTGTACCCTCCAGTGTCACTACACCATCTATAAAGTATGGAATTGCATTTCAAAATCTTATACTGTTATTTATGTGTTTTAACTTTTTTTTTTTCAGTTTCTCATCCAGAGGTTACGTTTTAGGAGCAAAGACACCCCATCTTTTTTTGGCGGTTAGTTGATGTCTTTTATTTATTTTTTACATCTTTATTTGAGTATAATTGCTTTACAATGGTGTGTTAGTTTCTGCTTTATAACAAAGTGAATCAGTTACACATATATGTATGTTCCCATATCTCTTCCCTCTTGCGTCTCCCTCCCTCCCCCACTCCCTATCCCACCCCTCCAGGAGGTCACAAAGCACCGAGCTGATCTCCCTGTGCTATGCAGCTGCTTCCCAATAGCTATCTACATTACGTTTGGTAGTGTATATATGTCCATGCCTCTCTCTCGTTTTGTCACAGCTTACCCTTCCATATCTTTCCTTAAATTTCTCCTGACACTCAGTCTTGCCCAGAGGATGAATAAAGGAATGATCACTTTCTTATAGGCTTCTCTTACCCCATTTTTTAGGTCAGTGCACTTGGAAAGGGGTTTGCAATGGTGGACAGTATAGCTGAAGTGGCATATAACATTTCACAGAAATCTTTCTCTAGAAGACTTTGATACTTTCAAAAGTATATCGTCCTAATTTCTAGCTATACTCAAGAATTAAACCAAAATTAGAAGTTTGTAACACAAATACAAGGCCCACAATGCATGAAATCTCACAAACAGACTAATTTTCTCTTTTTAATATATCTTCTATATGTACAAAATAAAGACTTGGAGGAGATGGCATGTATTCTGTGGTGCAGTCTTAAATTTTCTATACTCTAGTAATTGTGGGGTATGCAGCATAATGCCAGATTTATAATGCTATATTTTAATTTTATTTTTTCCCAGCTTTACTGAAATATAATTGACATATAACATTTTATTAGTTTAAGGTACACAACATAATGATTTATGTATATATTACAAAATGATTACCACAATAGTTAACAGCCGTCATGACATTGGCTTCTTTATGATTAACTGGGATACTTTATTCAGGCTTACTAGTTAGTGTTAAACAATAGTAATAATATTTTTGTAGTCTTGTAGCAAAATAACAGAGAAGAGTAATAACCAAAAGTTCTGTATCATTTAAGATATAGTCTCTTTTCATGAAAAGAAATATATATCCATTTTAACATTATCACTAACTATAATTCTGGCCAAAATGGACGACCTTAATAATCTGCCAGATCATAAGCAAAAATGAATTGTTTATGAAGTTTTAATGGCTCAGTTCCTAACAGAGTGTTTCACCTTACCTGTAATAGAGTTGACGACAGAACGCAGAATTGTTGGTGGTTTAATCAATTCTTTCAAAATGTTAGATTCAGTAGCCAGTGGAAATCCATTGTCTAACATTTCTTCCAAGAGCTCATATACTATGACCACATTATCCTTAATTGCAGCCTCCGAACACTCACCAAAGTAGTCCTAACAAAATGTACATAACATTGTACAATGGAAGACATGAAGAAAGGCTTGCTAAATACTTTTTGTTCTAAAGGGTAAGCTTACAGTAGCGTAATTCATTGTTTAAGATGCTGAAAATATGTAAAACAGAGGGAAAAAGCCCTCCATAGTTCTATATACTATTTCTCAATATTTCCTTAATATTTTTAAATTGAATTGAATTCCTATTACATATTATACCAGAAAGTACACTGAAATGTTAAAATAGAATGTGAACTATAAATATAAACTTCATTTGTCCTGATTAGGTACTCCAAAAACCAAAGATCAGTTTAAAATTACTGGTATATTCAGCAAGACAAGAAAAAAATAAAGTGTAAGTACTGGAAGATTTCATAACCAGTCAAAATTGTGGTACTATTCAGAGAACTGTATGTGGAGGGCACTATTATTTCCCGATGACATAATTTATAATACATAAAAAAAAATACAGCTTCCATGACCATGAGATTGTTTTGTTCTTCTAAAACAGTAACTGGAGCACCATGTGTACTACTGTATGCCCTACTAAAAAGGTTTAGGGCTTCCCTGGTGGCGCAGTGGTTGAGAGTGCGCCTGCCGATGCAGGGGACACGGGTTCGTGTCCCGGTCCGGGAAGATCCCACATGCCGTGGAGTGGCTGGGCCCGTGAGGCATGGCCACTGAGCCTGCGCATCCGGAGCCTGTGCTCCGCAACGGGAGAGGCCACAACAGTGAGAGGCCCACATACCGCAAAAAAAAAATAAATAAATAAAAAAAATAAAAATAAAAAAATAAAAAGGTTTATGTTTATGAACTTATGCTTAGTTGAAAAGAAGAGGGAGAGAGAGACAGACAGACTACACATCAAAAACTGGGTATTTAAAGAATATAATCATAATATAACTTGGATAATTCAAATTCAAAATATCTGATGAATAACCAACCTGAAAAGTATCAGCAACTCGATGTAGGAACTCAATTACAAAGAGAGGTGGCACTTCAGTCTGTATGACAGAGACAAAGAAGAGCTTATCCCGATAGATACTGATGAGATAGTGGTGAGGTGTTGAAATAACAGGTGGTACATTTTCAACATCAGCTGCTTTCTCTTGAGCTTCAAAGAAATAATCACAGACAGACTGGCTCACAACACTCTTCCAGTGCTTCTCTAGAAATATGTCACCGGAACAGTTTATGAGAAATAGACTGTGGATCATTTTCTGGGGGAGGAAAAACGTTTAAATTTAGTATATATCAAAAAAGTATCCTTGTATTATCTGGACACCAAAAACAGACAAAGGCAATACAAGAAACTACAGACCAGTATCAGTTAAGACTATAGGTATAAAAATCCTCCACAAAATACTAGCAAACTGAATCCAGGAACATATAAAAAAGATTATAACCCTGACCAAGTGGGATTTATTCAAGAATGCAAGGGTGGTTCAACATATGAAAATCAACCAACACAATATACAATATTCATAAAATAAAAGACAAAAAATATAATCATTTCAAAAGGCGCAGAAAAATAATTTGACAAAATCCAACAACCTTTTGTAATTAAAAACATTTAAACTAGGAATTGAAAGAAACTTCCTCAACATGATAAAGAGCATCTATGAAAATCCCATAGCTAGGGACTTCCCTGGTGGCGCAGTGGTTAAGAATCCTCCTGCCAATGCAGGGGACTTGTGTTCGAGCCGTGGTCCGGGAAGATCCCACACGCTGCAGAGCAACTAAGCCTGTGCGTCACAACTACTGAGCCTGTGCTCTAGAGCCCATGCGCCAAAACTACTGAGCCCGTGTGCCACAACTACTGAGCCTGTGCTCTAGAACCCATGCTCCGCAACAAGAGAAGCCACCACAATGAGAAGCCCACGCTCCGCAACGTAGAATAGCCCCCACTCTCCGCAACTAGAGAAAGCCCGCGCACAGCAATGAAGACCCAACGCAGCCAAAAATAAATAAATAAATAAATTAATTAATTAATTTTTAAAAAAAGAGAAAATCCCATAGTTAACATTTAATACTTAAAGACCAAAAGCTTTCCACTTAACAAAACGAACAAACAATGATGTCCATTTTCACCACTTCTATTCAACGTGGTACTGGAGGTTCCAGCCAGGGCAATTAAGCAAGAAAATGAAACAGAAGGCTTCCACATTGGAAAGGAAGAAGCAAAATGATCTCAATTTCCAGATGATATTATCTTGTATGTAGAAAATTCTAAGGATTACACATACACACGCACACACTAATTACTAGAGTAATAAATGAGTTAAGCAAGGTTGCAGAATATAAAATTAATATATCAATTGTATTTCTATACATTAGCAATGAATAATCTGAAAATGAAATTGAGAAAGCAATTCAAAAGCATCAAAAAGATTGAAATATTTAGGATTAAATTTAACAAAAGAAGTGTAAGACCTGTACATTGAATATTATAGAACATCACTAAAAGAAATTTAAAAGACCTAAAAAAATGGGAAGACCTTTCATGCTTACGGATTGGAAAACTTAATACTGTTAAGATGACATGACTCCCCAAATTGATCTACAGATTCAATGCAATCCCTATTAGTACACCAGCTGCCTTTTTTTAAATGGAAACTGAGAGGCTGATCCTGAAATTCATATGGAGATGAAAGAGACCAAGAATAGCCAAAACAATCTTGAAAAAGAAGAACAAATTTGGAGAACTCACACTTCCTGATTTCAGAACTTGATGTAAGGTACAGTGAGGTGGTGGCACAAAGAGAGTCATAGAGATCAATGGAATAGAATTGAAGGTTCTTAAATTAACCCTTACGTATACGGTCAACTGATTTTTGACAAGAGTGCTAAGACCATTCAGTGGGGGAGAGGATAGTCTTTTCAACAAATGGTGCTGGGACAACTGTATTTCCACATGCATAATAAAGAAGTTGGACTGCTATCTCACACCATATACAAAAATTAATACAAAATGTGTCAAAGACCTAAATATAAGAGCTAAAACAATAAAACTCTTTGAAAAAAATATATGCATAAATCTTCATGACCCTGGATTAGAAAACGTTTTTAAGATATGACATCAAAAGCACAAGGAACAAAGGAAAAAAACAGATAACCCAGACTTAATCAGAATTAAAACTTCTGTGCTTCAAAAGGCATTATCAAGGAAGTAAAAAGACAAACTTCAGAATGAGAAAATAACTGCAAACCATACATCTTTCAAGGGACTACTATCCAGAATATATAAAGAACTCTTACAACTCAATAATAAAAGACAAATAACCCAATAAAAAATGTGCAAAGAATTTTAAAAGACATTTCTCCAAAGAAGATATACATACAAATGGCCGATACGCACTAGAGCTCACTATCTTTTCAAAATATGAACTAAAATCACAATGAGATAACGTTTCATATTCTCTAGGCTAGATATAATCAAATAATCAAATCAAAAGGCAGACAATAACAACGGTAGACAAGTTTGTGGAGAAACTAGAACCCTCATACATTGCTGGTAGGAATGTAAAACAGTGCAGCTGTGCGGAAAACAGTTTTGAGTTCTTCAAAAAGTTAAAGACTGAGTTACCAAATGACCCAACAATTCTACTCCTAGGTATACACCCAAGAGAACTGGAAACATATATCCATACAAAAACTTGTACACGAATGTTCTTAGCAACATTATTTATAACAGTCAAAAAGTGGAAACAATCCAAATGTCTTTCAACTGATGAATGGATTCATCAACCAATGACTGGATAAATAATATATATCCAAAATGAAATGTTATTCAGCCATAAAAAGAAATGAAGTACCAGTACATGCTACAACAGGATGAACCTTTAAAACATTATGCTAAGTGAAAGAAACCAGATACAAAAGATCACATATTGTATGATTCCATTTGTATGAAATGTCTAGAATTCAGGCAAATGCACAGAGACAGAAAGTAGATTAGTTGTTGCCAGGGGCTGGGTAGAGGGGGAAGAATGGGGAGTTACTGGTTTTTGTATTTCTTTTTGAGGTGATAAAAATCTTCTGGAATTAGAGGGACTTCCCTGGTGGTGCAGTGGTTAAAAATCTGCCTGCCAATGCAGGGGACATGGGTTCGATCCCTGTTCTGGGAGGATCCCACATGCTGTGGGGCAGCTAAGCCCATGAGCCACAACTCCTGAGCCTGTGATCTAGGGCCCACGGGCCACAACTACTGAAGCCCATGTGCCTAGAGCCCGTGTTCCGCAACGAGAAGCCACTGCAATGAGAAGCCTGCGCACTGCAACGAAAAGTAGCCCCCGCTTGCTGCAACTAGAGAAAGCCCACGTGCAGCAACAAAGACCCAACGCAACCAAAAATAAATAAACAAAATAAATAAATTTATAAAAAAATAAAAATAATCTTCTGGAATTAGAGATTTGTGAATATACTGAAAACTACTAAACTTCACATGTTTAGAAAACTGCAATTTAGTAGTTTCAGTCTAAAAAATGCTTAGCTTTAATATAATTATTTTTTCAATTAATAAAAAGTATTCTTTAATACTTTGTAACACACAAATCCACTCCCAGGTGGATTAACAGAAATGCATACAAATGTGCACAAAAAACATGTATAAAAATATACTGTAATAGTGAAAACTTATTATTTATTAATAGTACAATGGGAAAATAAACTAGTGTATTATTAAAGGGAAATACACAGCAATGAAAATGAATAAACTATTGCTACATGAAACAAATATGGACGAATCTTACAAACACAATATTGAACAAACAAAGCCAGACACAAAAGGATACATACAGTATGATTCTATTTATATGAAGTTCTCGAACAGACAAAGCTAATCTATAGTTTGAGAAATCAAATGGTTTCTTTTGGGAAGGAGAGTGGGGGTGATGACTGAGACAGGAACAGGGTTGGTCTCCTAAGGTGCCGGTAATGTTTTATTTCTTGATCTAGATGATGGTTACAAGTTGTGTTCATTTTGTGATAATTCATTGGGCTTTATGTTATGGCTTGTATACTTTTCTGAGTGTTAGTTATGCTTCAAATAAAAAGTTTATTGTCCTTGTAATATGGGCGACAGTGGACAAATATCTACCTTAACATGCTCCTTTCTTTTATATAGATAACATCAGTATCAGGTGTTTAGTGGTCCATTCATTCAAAATTACAGTAGTGAATGATAAATGTAGCCTAAGGAGAAAGAATGTAAGATCTATGAATAATTTCTATGCATGAAGATAAATTCCAAAGAGGAAAGGAAGAGTTTCCAGAATGAATTCATTCAATTCTATTGACACAGAAAACAATGACATCAACCTGACCAGTTCTTTTTACAGGAAGTCATTTACTTAATGAAAGGCAGTTGACATTTAAAGACTATTTGGTGATTTCCTCTTCCCATTTGGTGAATGTTCAATAGTTATTAAGTAAATAACACTAATTACTAAAATGTGCTTTAGCAATTATTGTATTAATAAAGTATGGATGCTGTTAATATTGATAGTTTAGGGTTCCAGTTTAGTAGAAAAAGAAAATGTTTCTTTGTTCAAAGGCATCTCTATTTAGCCAAGTAATCAACCTGAGTTGGCAGCAATAAACGCTGATACCTCAGGCTTTGGACCTACTAAATTTTTCCAGATTAATATCTGGAACCTCCTAAATCTTTCCACTTTATCTAGTCAGATGCTTTGTTTAATAGGTTTGCTTTGTGTCAGTTTCTATTTGAGTGTTAAAATAGTGCCACTGGAATATAGAGAACCTACTGACTTTTAACCTCTGTTCTCTGATACACTTTAAAAAAATAGAACAGGAGTACCCAGCAATAAGATCTGCAAACTAAATTTGCATTATGATGCCTTTTGTGGAATAAAATTTTCATCTGAAATATAAAGTACGATTTAAAGTGGAACATTGGAATCAACTCAATGAGACCCAGATGTGAGCACTTCAAGTGAGCCCTCTATGGAATACGGCATCCTTCACAATAATTAATTTTCAGCTTCATTCAAAGTATTTTATTCATTAAAGATAAATGAATTAGTAATATCTAAAATTGAGTACTTACTATGGGCCAGACACTATCCTAGGCACTCTTCTTATCTTATTTAATCCTCACAACTCAATGCTATAAATACTGTTCTTATCCCCATTTTACAGATAAGACAATAAAGTCTTGGAAATGATAAGTCAATTATCTAAGATGATACAATAAGTATCAGAGCTAGGATTCAAACCCAGATCCAGTTGAATCTTGAGGCTCCTGTTCTTACCTGCCTCTTAGAAACTAATTATCAGGAACACACTCTATTGCATCAGTGTCCCGTACAATTTATTGCAATAATGGACATGTCCTCTATCTGTGCTGTCTGGTACAGCAGCCACCAGTCACATGTGAGCACTTGAAATATGGCTAATGCAACTGAGGTACTGAAGTTTTAATTTTAATTAATTTAAATTTAAATAACTACACGGAGTTTAGCTGTTATCATACTGGACTGGGCAGCAAATGTGCTGTTTGAGCTTATAATTTAAGAGAAAGAGTTGAAGGATATGCCTCTTGTTTAGTTAGAAGCCAAAATGTATTCTAATAAATTATTTAGACCAGGAATTATATTTAAGAGAGCTGACATAGGTTATTTTCTTAAACTATTCATCCTAAAGAAAATGTAGTTCACATGGATCTGTGGTACTCCATTGCCACAATATACCCTAAAAAAGCTGCTTATTCTTGAAGCAAGTGACTTTGTAGTTTCTTTACTTGAGTGGCCAGATTCCTACTCATCCTCTTAAGCTGGTGAAAAATTCTTTCCAGGAAAAGTTTCCACCAGAGTTGTTTTCATTGGCAGTAGTTCTGGTCTCAGAAGAATAGAGTAAGTTAAACTGCCATCTGGATTTATTGCTGTTGTCCTCAGTGCTGAGAGGAAAGCACAGCACTTGTAGCTTTCAACAGTGCTTAGCTTCAAAACCCATCTTAACTTTCTATTATAGGAAAAAAAAGCTTATTTCTTCTATCCATATTAAGACCAAGGGCCTAATGCAAAAAACAAATACCACATGCAGCAGTGTAAATTTGCTTGTTTCTTTAGCTACTTATCCTTTGAGTAGCTGCAGTTATTTCTTTCACTATTTTAATAAACTTTCTGGGAAAGCTACCACCACAACTATCTTTTTGTTCCTAGTGACTTCTGAGTCAGAAAACAGAATTCTCCAAGCTTATTTTAAATCCACTTAATAAACTGTTCAGAGGCAGTTCCATCAGAGCTTTGACTGCAGCTTAAATACTTCATAAACCCTCTTTACTGAATGTTGAACACACTCACCCTGATGATTCACAAGCAGTGCAATTACAATAGTCAAAATATCCTTGGAAGAGGGTGTCTAAAAAAGAAAATGTATTCCTTCTCTATATAACAGAATGGAGGCATAGAAGGGTCTGTATCTAAGGTGAGAGAATGAAACCAGAAAATAATCTAGCTATTCTGATTTTTAACCAATATCTTGATCCTGTTAATTCAACAGTTTTGAATGTTTTATATATTAAGCAATGGGGATACAAGGTGAACAAAATAAGAGTCCCTGAACTCACAGCATTTAGAGTTCAGCAAAGAAGGCAAACAATTTAATACAGTAAGATGATAGGGGAAATACAGTATGCTATAAAAATCCACAAGGCTTCAAGGTGAGAAAGAACATAAGACAAAGAAATGCAGTACAAATTTAGCAACTTCAGAAGGAGGATGGAAGTGATGAGATGAGAATGGAGAAGATAAGCAGAGATTGGTTCACTTTATTCTCAGTGCAATGTAAAATCATTTTTTATGGTTTTATGCAGGGGATTCATGCAACACAATTTACAGTTTTAAGATCGCACTGTGGAAACTGGATAATTGGGCAACTGAATATTGTGACACTAGTTGAGAGATGAGTTATGCGGTGGTCTAGACTAGAGTGTTGATAATAGGGATGGAGTAAAATGAAAAGATAAGAGAAACATTTAGGGTTGAGAAAAGTTTGGGGGGTGGGGAACAGGCAGTGGAGATGAGAGGGAAAACAAGGGATCCAGCCCTGGTCCTATACAATCTGACCCAATTCTGGATATATTTGACCCCAATGGATATATTCAAAAGACCATTGTATATATAGGTCTGGTGCTCCAAACTGGAGATAGATTTGTGGGTACTGTAATCATGATTTTTTTTTTTAATTTTTTTTTTGCGGTACGCGGGCCTCTCACTGTTGTGGCCACTCCCGTTGCGGAGCACAGGCTCTGGACGCGCAGGCTCAGCGGCCATGGCTCACGGGCCCAGCCGCTCCGCGGCATGTGGGATCTTCCCGGACCGGGGCATGAACCCGTGTCCCCTGCATCGGCAGGCACACTCTCATCCACTGAGCCACCAGGGAAGCCCCATGATTTTTTATTAATGCAAAATATAACTATAAGGAGACTAAAACTACAAAGAGAGAATGTGTATAGTAGAAAAGAACCTATGGAAGGAACTTCAAATTCTGAGTAGCATGTAGGTCAAGAAAGTGGACCTGGAAAAAGACTGAGAAGATGTGGCTGAAGAGGGATAAGAAAAAAAAGCGGCGGGGGGGGGGGGGGG